TTTACAATGAAGCAGTTAACCAACATTCCAAGTCACTGCCTCTTATATTGGAGAATGCATTGGTAGGATTTTTTTTTCTTCATAACCCTGGATCTGATCTGCCCGTTTTTAAATTCAAGACTTCTTTTGCTTTCTTTCCCCACCACACACACACAATTCCATCCAGTTCTGTTTTCAGGTAAATATTGTCTTAATGGAGAGACAAGTTGTAAAAATTCTTGAGCCCCTTTTCCAAACTTTAATAATGCAGTGGGTTATTCTATATAAAAATAACCCACCCATCTGTTCCTATTCTCGTCATAACAATAACTCTTTTTTTGGGGGGGGGGGTTTAAATTCAAAGAGAGAGTGCCTGGCCCAAAGTCACCCACATGGTCTTGATGCCTAAGGGAGGATGACAACCACAGCCTCTAATTTCTAATCAAGACACTACTGCCCCAAGTAGTGTATTATGTCATATGCATTCAAGGATTGTTCTTCTCATCTAAATTTATTTCTAATTCATCAAATTCATTTTCACTTTGACAGTTTAAGTTTTCCTTAAATTCTCACAGTTCAATTATAAAGTGAATAATTTATTTTTTAATACAGGGATCAGTGCTCAGATTTCCTTGGTACTTTGGTCTGACCATATCACAATTTCCAGATGTTTTCAGTGCTTTTCTGCATAAATTATAATTAGTTATAGTAATTTCATTTTTTATGTACATATAATTATGCACTACAAATACAATATCAAAAATTAATAAAAAATAAAGTACAATTCAGTTGAAAATGGCAACTAGAAAGTACCTGAAGGGCCCATAACATTTCAATAATCATTAAAGTCTGTATGCAAATATTAATATAGATAAAATAGAAAAATTTAAGTGTACATAAAAAGCACTTATACAAGAGCTTTGTAGGTAGCCCAGGATTCTGACACCCAAACGTGAGTAAATATTATAGCCACGTGTTTTTATATAGAAAATAAAATGAGAATAAAAGTTCACCCTTGTCTTGCTGTAAAAACAGTTACTTTATACATGTTAAAATACATTTTTAAAAGTTCCCTAAAGCTTTCATTAAAACCTCAATATTTAATCCAGATCCAAACTACAAATTTCATAACCACAAATTTTATTTTCTTCTACAGTCTTTTACATTTTGCATTTTCTTAAGACATGTAAAGGAATTGACTTCATATCTTCTAGTGAGATGGCCTTAATAAATACTATCCAGTTAAGGATATTCTTTTATGTTCCTAGATATTATATTTTTGCTGGCTGCTTCCAAACCCCATATGCCCCCATAATGAAAACTTTAAAATCCATCTATTGAATTACATGCACGTTAGCAAACTAATCCAAGGGCCTGAAAACAGAAAAGGGTTAGGATCAATTAAAAGGTCTTCATTTATTCAAAGTAGTATTTTAAAGCAATTGGCTGTTTTGCCAAGTGTCAAGATAATGACCAGGTGTCCAGGCAATAGGTTCTTTTAGATCCAGAGAGAACAAACATACCAGGAAAAAAAGAAAGTTTAAACATTATTATTAATTTAAATAAATGGATTTAAAAGCATAAGATAGAAATCATACATAATCTCTTACAAGCTGTCAGGAGCTTCTTAATAATACAGCAGAGATACTCCAAATGGGATTAATTTCCACAGTGCTCTGTTCTAGATTCTGTGTAGTAGCTCCCGGGTTAAAGGTCAATACTAGGGTTTTTATTAAAACCCATTATCATGACTTCATGGCCCTGCTTTTATGGTCATAAGCCTACAAGGCTTGACCTTGACCACGTGGCATATGACTCTGGGATCAAGAAAAGCTTTGTGGCTATAGTATGTGAGATTTGCACCTCCCACACACATACCTTCTTTATTTAGCAAACAAAAGTGAGAAACAAGAAACTTAGCTCAAAATGAGCTCTAAACTTTTAGATGTTTCTTAATATTAAGGGGAAATCAAAACTCCTCGAAATATAATGATCTTCCACATTGCTACCACACCACCATATAGATTTATTATTGCTTTCTTCAAGGCTTAGGAAAATGCTTATATACATACAGAGAAAAATGGAACATATTTTAAAAGGAAAAAAAAATCATAATTACCTCGGAGAGAAGATCGGCAGCATAGGCTGAACTACCTAATGAAATATGTCTGCCTCGGGACATGCGATTTGGTAAGTATGATGGTGAATAAGTAACTGCAACTCTAAAAATATTAAAATAAAATATATATGTTTCAGCCAATTTTTCTCAGTGAAATGCACCACATTAATGTCTATTAATGCATAATAATAGGTTGACTGTTAATCTAAAGAAAATCTGAGTAAAAGTTGTAACTCAAATTTGCTGATACAAGGCAATGCACTAAGGGGGCATGATAAAATATAAGTTGGCATGACATTTTTAGAAAAGTCTAATCAGAAGAGTCACATCAGCAAACTTTTCATTTTGTTGCTAAATATGGATATTGCTAATAGATTGTTTCTATTGCTATCAATCAAAGATTATTTTCTACTATAACTTCATTCTCTCTTAACGCATTGTAGCAATAAATTGTATAGAAATTTCAGGAAATACAGGTGTTATATAAATGCAAACTATTACCTAGATACTCTTCCCCTGTAAACAAGGCAACTGAGAAATATGTCACATATTCATTCAGAAGAAATGTTCATTTATTGAAACATGATTTACATTCTTATGGTTCCATTTCATATATTTTCTCATGATTAGAAATTGCATCATTTATTTAGGGCTAGTAAATGCATTAATATAAATATTATTTGATACAAGTTTTCTTTCTAGTTAGAAAAAAAAGGAAGGAGTATTCTCCTTGAGTGTGCAGATAGGGTTCCTACCCAAATTATTGAAGCTTTCTGAATGATGTTTGGCTCTAGCACAGAATCTGTATGTGGGGCAACACAAATAATATTGTTTAGAGGAGGTTACTGGGTGCAGTCAAACATATCCACCAAAATAATATAGACAATACGGAAAAGATGAATAGGTTTGCTCATTCATTCATTCCTCTATCAATGCAAAGGAGCTGGTAATTGGACAGTATTGGACAGTAGTGTAGTAAGTGCTATTCTTCTGGACATATGTGTTTCTTATTTCAAAATAACAGACAACTTCTGAAATTAAGCTTCATACTCAGAGAGTGTTATGGAAATTGTAAAAAAAAAAAAAAGGATGTGAGGACCATAGCAAAGGGAAAGAAAAGTCATGATATGTCATGTGACCTGCCATGACAACATGAGTTTGTCACCCCTGATCTAGTTAATCATGCACACCACAAGATAATCTGCAGCTATTGTAGATTACCGAATTATTGTTTTATTATAATATCAATGAACAGCCAGTATTTTACTATATTACTAAAAAAAACTTGTTTGTATTCATTGAATGTTGTGCCTACTTAGATGCTGATGCCTTTCTTGCAGGAATATTGTATGCTCTCAATATTCTGATAAGAAGCTTAACATCTCCATCCGAGACTGCCTGGGCTGCAACCTTTCGTCTCTCTTTCCTTTGTGGTTTCAGATGTCTTCTGCGTTCACTTAGCTTGAAAATTGCATTACTCAATTGGCTAAAATAAATGAAGAAATAAAGTTATTTTGATCAGACTGAAAAAGTCAAGTTGATGGCTGCAGCACCACAATCAAAGCCCTTTTGTATATGTGTTGACTTCACATGCACATATAAAAGGTGGGGGCATCAATCACACTGCTGCAACTGTCTTCTTCACCCTCTCCCAGTGGATGCTGCTGGTTCCAATTCACGTAGAAGCCCTTATGTGTATCCAAAGGATTTTTATTATTGCAGTTTACCTGCTAATAACAGGCTGTTCATTGATGTCATAGTGTAAATGATACTATAGCAGGGAATGGTATTTACCACTTCTTAAATCTTGAAATATATGCACAATTGGTTTTATAAAACAATTTTATTTCATATATTTATACTACTTACCAGACACCACAAAGCATATAATGTTGTAAAAACTGTATTTGTTCTAGTGTTTCAATAATAAACAAGATATTTCAGACTATTTTTTTAACCTTTCAGTTTCATGTAGTAAGAAGTCTTTTTAGAATTTTATATTGTTCATATTAAGCATTTGTACCCACCTTGGGCCATTTTAAAATAAGTTGTTTAAATTTACCTACCTCATTGATATAATTTCTTCATAATCACTCACAAGATCTGATAAATTAAATTTGTGCCTAATGGTCAAAATTTGTTTTCCAACTTGATTTCGCATCTAAAAAAACATAGTTAAAAAAAAGCATAAATTCTCTGTAAAATTTAATCAACATGAGTTTAAGCCAGAAACAAAATTTATTTAGATGTTGAGGGCTCCTTGGTATTCTTTCAGCTTGGTTGTTTCCTTGCAGGCACTTCATTACCAAAACTAGGTAATATCATTAGTGCTAGCACAGATGGGTGCTTTAAACCATCACACTATCACCGCTGATGTTACCAAGTTTGAGTAATGAAATGTCTGCATGAAAACAAGCAAGCTTAGAGACCCTGAACTACAAATATTCTCTTTATTAGTATTTAGATATTAATGCATTGGAAGTGCCAGCAGAAATCAATACATTCAGAGTGAATTATCTAGTGCAGGCATTGCTTTAAAGCAGATAGAAGTTTGAGTAAGCATTTTGTAAAAAAATGCATATTGCCCTTGGGGATCAAACAATACACACTGTATGATGGCATCAGAATTACTAATTTTTGTCCATGCCTGATCAGATCCTAAATAAGGAAACAGATGGTTTTTAGAACAAAAAAGTGTTTTTAGAGGGAGATATACATTTGATTTCATTATATTTGTTAGCAAAATCCTTCCTCTTCTGTATTAAATTATGTCCGAAATTAAATGTCTTTGTGAGCAAGAATAACCACCTGCAAGCAGGATTTTGTTCAATTCACACGCACCCTTTCTGCTCTTAAAAGTAGACCTCAAAGTAGGCTTTATATTTATTATATTCATTACAATTAAATTAGTAAAATAAAGCAACATCTCATTAGAAGCAATAATTGGCGACAATTTCCATTTTCCAGAACAAGACTAGACTGAATGTTGCAAAAACAAAGCAAGATAAGATATAAATTTCAGTACAAAATTATATTGTGCTTTATTTTTTTATTCAGTACAATTATATTCAATACAATACAATTTGTACTGAAATTTAGGGCATGACAGGAATGATGAATTCTTGTGTTGGGCCAGCACAACTGGATTAATTCTTGTGTGCAAGATAAGTGCTTGAGATAAAGAAACCAAAACATCTTATTATATGTAAGATATAATAGGTCTGTGTCTAATCCTAATTGGAACATGCAGTTCTGAGGAAGGTGTGTGATTGTATTAAAATACCCAAATTCAAGTGAGATTCTACCCAATAGTATATTTAATATATAATGTAACAAGTATTTTGTATGGTTAAGCATGGTTCTGTCCTTTTCCTACTTCTTTTTAATCTCTCTATATATGGTACAAATTTTCAAAGCAGAAAAAAGAAATCTATTATTTTAATTTAGGCTTGTGATATGATCATTATTTGAAACGTTCCTTAATGTCTGAATAGAGTTCTACCAGCTTGGATGCTGTTTTAAATATTATTTAATAATTAACTATGAGAAGAGTAAGTTCTAATGTTTGGACATTAGTTGGTTTATTTTTGTCAGCTTCAGTGAGATGGCTTATCCATTAGAAAAGGCATAAAGAAAAGACTGATATTTAATTTTTTTTAATTGATATACTAATTTCATATTAGTTTCATATCTTTAAAATCAGTTATGGAGTGGGAGGTTACTGATTTATGTGGATTATTAGAATTTTAAATAATTGGACTAAGGTAATAGTTTCCCTCTTTTCTAAAATTTAAACTCTTTTAAAAAAGAAACAGATACTAGTCTCCTTGTTCTCCTTTTGGTTTTCTAACTTTCTTAAATATCTAGCTTTATTAAATTTCTGCAGATTATTTTCAGTTACTGTATAATTTGACTCATGGTCATTTTTAAAATCTAGCATTTATGTCATATCTCCACCAGTGGATCTCAGTACATTTGCCAATGAAAAAAGCCCCTTCTGGTATTTAACATGAAAAAAAAACACATTTGGAAAAATAATTAAATCTATTCTTCAAGCTTGTTTGGCTGTATTAAGAATGCAGTGAATGACCTCTGGTGTTTTGGATGGGTAATTTTTCAAAATAGCATCTAACTTTGTTACAATACATTTCCCTTAACTTTGATTGTTTGGGATTTGTTTAATTCTTTGCTTTCACTTGCAGATTATAGTGACAAAGTTTACAGAGCTCTAAAGAACATATTATCTTTAAACAAAAATATAATCATATATATTTTCAATATCTTCTTATTTTTAGGTTAAAAATAAATGTACAGTTTTAAATCTAATTATTTAAATTAGTTTTAAATACAGTATTTGTAGAAACATATTTTCTGTTATGGCTTTATATAGTCTTGTTTGGTCTATGATCAATGGCTGACATAATAAAGTTGTACTGCGTTATACTAAATTAAAGTGAAAAATGTGAGGCTTTATATGAATAGGAATTCTCACTTTGTGCACAAGATTTAAATGAATGTATTTTATACTGTTTAATATGCAGATTTTGTATTAACAATATAACTGTCAATGCATTACTCTAAGCAATTTTTGTGTTGATATAGCAATGTTACTTATTTTATTTCTGTTTCACATGATTTATGGATGGATTTAAATCATGACTCTCTGAGAAACTGTCTGTATTTTGATGTTGATGTTATTACAGCAATTATATCCTAAGCAGCATATACTTCAGAAAAATGGGCAGAACATTAGAAGACTCTTTCTATAGAGGGACAATTGAAAGCTTCCTGTCATATCATTACTCTGTGGTTTGGAAGTATTACTGTTTGAGATAGGAAGGCTGTGCAGAGACTGGTGAGGATAGCAGAAAAGATTATTGGATGTTCATTTCCTTCTATTCAGGACATGGCATATAAGTGCTGCTTAACCAGGGTCTGCAGGATTGTCATGGTCACTACACAACCTTCTGGGAAGAGGCTTCATGCAGAACAACTCGATTCTGTAATAGCTTTGTACGATATAGTATCAACCAGGGGTGGGATTCTACCGGTTCAGTCCTGTTCAGTAGAACCAGTTGTTACAATTCTGCACAGTTCGGAGAACCAGCAAATTGTGCCCCTGGCTGGCCCTGCCCCTCCCCTCCCCATCCAGTTTTTATCGTGCATGAGCAACATTGCATGCATGCACAACATCACTCTACATTCTCCGACACCCACCCCGCCCAGTCACTCCTTACAGTATTTTTTTCCTCCCAACGATCAGCTGTTCCAACAATCAGCTGTTCCAGGATCTCCCTTGCTGTCTTTCTGTTTCGCCCAGGAGGCTTCCCTGAGGCCCAGGAAGCAAAAAGGGACATGCAAAGGGGGGGGGGTGCCCCCCACACTCCATTTTTTGCCTCCTGGGCCTCAGGGAAGCCTCCTGGGAGCAAAAATGGCCTTCCAGGAAGCTTCCTTGAGACCCAGGAGGCAAAAAAAATGGAGCCCGGGGAGGGCTGCAAAAAAAACAAACCATGCCCACCCAGTCATATGACCACGCCCACCTAGCCATGTTCACCTAGCCATGCCCACAGAACCAGTAGTAAAAATATTTGCATCCCACCCCTGAAATCAACCTTGTCAACTCTCAAGACTCTTTTTTCTGCTATGTATTCAAAATGGAGTGTGATTAGTTTTAGTGTGTATGTGTGTATAGCGTATGTATATGTGTCTGCATATATGTGTACGATTATATATTTATTTTCTTTTGAGAGCGGACATCAGAATTTAATTTTTTAATGTGCGCCAATGTGTTCACAAAAAAAGGTGACAATAAAGGTTAACTTATCTTAAGACAACTGTCCTTAAGTTTGATAGAAATGGGATGCTACATTGTTTTATTTTCAGTGCAATAAATAGTTTCCAGCCATTCATTTTCTAATATATGAAAACTGTCATACCATCTTAACAAAGTTGGCAGAACTATTTCTTTGTGCAGAAATAGGATCCATATCTGTCATACACATGTCCTTTTTCAATTGGCCTCCATGTTCCTGAAAGAAGAAATGGATTGTTTTTATCAATTAAAAGTCACACTAGCCTGTTCAACCAAACGAAAGATAGCATCTAAGTCACAATATTTATATTCTACCATCTTTAAAGATATAGATTTTTGTGGTCTTAAGTAACAATTATTTAGCATTTAGAGTAATACTGTCACCTCATAAATCATTCTATGCCTGTTTCTGAGTTGCCATAAGAAGGAGGGGGAAGGCCTGAGGGAGCAGTGTGGCTGATGAAGGCCAGAAGCACATTCCATGCTTATTTTTTGGAGATTGTAGCCTAGGGTACTGGATCTTCTGCCCCCCCAAAAATCCTTCATTAGAGACTGTGATTGATGACACCCAGCCTATGAATTTGTTTTGTTGGAGAATCTGATTTATCACACACCCAGGGGGGTGGAGGGAAACAGGATCATACGTGATAGTAAATTACATGTCTCAGAGTTCGCTTCATACAGGTTAGTGCCAGACATGTTGCTCCTAATAAATCTTTTTGAATCTTTTGAAGCTTGGCTCGAGGCTCATTATTTAATTAGGACAATCGTCAGAATCCTGACAAGTACTTTCTATTCATTTCATATAGGGATATCTACATATTACTATAGAAATCTAATATTTTAGTATCTCATTTTTTGCTGGTATATAATTTAAGTATTTGAAAATGTCCCAACACTTGTTAATCATGTAATTCTTACGACATTTCTTAATATGAGGATTGAATATAGAATGAATAAATAGTGTAACTAATGCAAGCAAGGTGCAGGAAAAAACAAGCAAAAGGAACCTATGCTGATCCATGAGAAAAACTGAATTTGTAAAAAGCTTCTGTTTTTTTTTTCCAACTCCCCAATCTATTTGCTTACCTAACACTGAGATTATTTTAAATGCTCAGCTGTGTATGTGGTGTTGCACATATACAAAGCCATAATCAGAAACCCTCCAAAGAAGCTTGGATGTGGCTCCCAACTTCCCTTAGCTGCTATAGCCTCACTGAGAACCAGGCCAACATCAACAACCTTAGGCATTGGAAGAGGTAAAAGTAGAACATTGTGTAAAAGGAAAATGTAAAATTAAACTTTATTCTTAAAGTAAAATACCTGAAAAATTGTGTCTGGAATTTCTTTGTCAAAGAGAGGAATTTGCTGAAAACAGTAGAAGCCTAACTGTCCTAAATTCCTAAGCTGTAATAGCCGGAAACGTTTGCAATTTTGAATATCTTCAGCAATAACAAAGTTAAATTCTTGCAGTTGTTCAAGGCGAAAATGTTTTGAATCACTTTTCTCCTGAGATTGTGCATACTATTAGAAAATAATAAATATAAATTGGGATAATTTTGCTAAATACAACCAATAAATACAAAAACATTACTGCTATGAACATTGCTCATAAGCTGAAGAGGAGACAATAAAATGAAATCTGCAAAGATTTTGCCGCTAAATAAACATAAAGAGAGCTAAACTGTTTTGGAAAAACAAGTTATTCAGAAAATAATTGACTTTTTTCTTTAAAATTTTTTGATATGTATGTATGGAAACAGTAGAACTGCTGCTAAATGCTATGAAAACTTTTGTTGGCAAACAAAAGTCATCTTCTAAAAACGTAACTAAGTAGATGCATCTAGGAATTCAAAGCAAGATACTCACAGTTTCAAACATCTGCTACATTTTATAATTATAGTGTTTCTATCTGGAGAACCATGTAACTATTATAGTTAATAAATATCTACAAATACGTATTTATTTTTCCATTTAATTTATTGTATAGTCACCTAAGCTATAAACTAATCACTACAAGTATTTTGAGTGTCAATTTCATAAGTCACATTATATGTACAAGTGCTTCCATACCAGTCCTGTGTCTATTGCCAATCAATTTCAATTGGTAACTAAAATGTCCTGAATTATGAGAGAAAGAAAAACTCTCCTTTTGTTTCTGCTCACGCTGTAAAGTTTTGTTTTGTCAAATGTCTATAAACTCTACTTGTACTCTCATGTTTGTTAAGGAGGAATCAAAGCTACAATGAAACAAGTTGGATAAAGGACAAAAAGTTGTAAACTTGGTTCTTATAAAATTAATACATAAGCTATAGGATCATAAAGAGTAAAAAAGGAACAACATATTCAAACTTTTTAGTTATCAAAAATTATTACAAAATCCTGATTTAGTTAAAGTCCTTAATGTATTATTTAGAATTAAATAAGATTCTATTACTTAACATTTATTACACAGTTTTTCAGAGAATTTGAAACTTCATTACAGAAATGTCATCATTACCATAATTAATTCAAACAAATCTGAGTAGTAAGGATCATTCGGGTCGATACTTATGTCTTTTGCCCAGTCAATTAGTTTTTGGATATCAGAATGCCACCAAATTCCTGTCCCTTTTCCTGAACTGATGTTCCTTGGTACACTAAAAAAAAAAAAAGCTTAATATGGAATAACAGTCTCATTATGATGCCACAATAGGAAAAAAGGAATCTTTGTGAAAGAATATAGATTTATTTTACCAGTTTAAAATAGTCACTGCATATGAACTGCAAGATGATTCCAGGACTTTAAATTATACACTCAGTGCTACTAATTTAAGGATGTAGAAATGGTCCTTAAATCATAAGAGTGTGGAAAACATCCTTAAAAGTCAGTAGGGTTATATACCTGAAATGTAAGCTACTGAGAGCAATATTGTGCTGCACCTAAAAGAATTTAAGAAAGTTATAATTTCTGGGAATAAAAGTGTATACCTCTTAGCTTTAGCCAAGATCTAAATTTATGGATGATTTTAGGAAACCTTTGTAGCAATAATAGCTATGACAATAAGCTGAACATGTAAATTGCATTGGTAATATCTTCTCATTCTGTGAAGAAACTGTAATCTAGACTCTGGTGTAGGCCCAAAATGGGAAAATTTCATGTCAGGCCCAGCTTAAAGCTCAAGGACCACTGGCCCTCCAATGATGTCTATTAAGCATAAAGCAAATTAATATATGACATGCTTACAACTGGCCATCCATTACAGATTCCTAGCTAGTTATCTGGAGACAGGTTATGCCATAGAAAGAAGATTAGTAATATATGTCATCTATGTCCAGGATCTATGCAGTACAAAAACTTAATGCCAACATTTCCCCACTTTCTGAGCAAACTCTGAAGTGCATTACAGAAAGTCTTCACTCACCAATCACTCATTCAGTGATGATTTGAATTTGCAATGGCACTGAAAATAGAGATTTACGACTGATTCGTGAAGTCACATGATTGCAATTCAGGTGCTTGACAAACCATGCACATTCACAATGATTGCAATTCCCCATGGTCATGTGATCACTATTTACAAAGTCAATGAGAAAGCTGGCAAGAAGTCTCAGTCACGCAACATCAATTTAATGATCTGCAGTGATCTCATTAATGACTGCAACTAGAACTGGCACTGTAAATTAGTGTGATAATGTAATATCACACTTAGTGACTGCTTAATAACTTGTTTAATAACAGATTTGCCAATCGATATTTTGGTTGGTGACTATCTGTATATAAATATGCTTCCTCCATGCCTAGTTAATTGGACTGGGTCATGAGAAGCTATGAGTTTTCAGAATTCCAATAAAATTAATAATAATAAAATGGTTCTTGGAATGGAGGGGGGTAGGAGACTTGTAGAAATAGCTAAGCATGGCTGTGCTAAGCCAAAGCCTGCAATTTGTAACTACTTCAAACTGGGGTGTAGAAGTAACACAGATATATGCAACTAGATTAGTTTCATTCTATCATCCCGATTTCAAAATATAGTTCACATGATTACTGAGGCAAAACAAAAACAGATATTTCCTTAATTTATGAAAATACACAAGCTATTTCTATGAAGACTTAGAACTCTTAGATTCCTTCCAAGACAAGGAAAAGAGATGCACGGCATGGTAGTTTGTGCATTGCAGGGAAAAAATAGATTGTATAGATTTTTTTTACAAAAGCAAACAGTGAAAATAATACATAAATATTATCACCTGTTGGAAGAAATATATGCTTGTTGAATAGTAGGAGCCAAAGGAATTCCCTTGTCACTAACTGTCCAAGATAAAGAATACATTAATTTTCCTGATGTCATAATGCATAATTCTTCTGTTTGATTTTCACCAAGAAAAAAAGGAACATCTACAATATAAACATAAACAAACACTATTGCAACATCAGATTTTTATCTCACTGTAAATGCCACATATTCATTGGTATATGTAACTTTTAGGTGCTAACTTCTGAGGCTAACAAATAGGCTGCTCAATTTCTAATGACAAATTTTGGAGCTTAAAATTAGGGCCAAATTAGTCACAATAAAATGGATCTGGCTGATAAAAATAGGTATATGTGCATCTGCTTTTAAATGGTTCAGAAAAACAAAGACCCTTCACCTCACCAATCATAGCCTTATAGTCTGTTCCCACACATGTCTGAAATATACTTCAGCTTGCAATGAAAACACTAGGACCACTAATTTACTAAGGTTTCTTCCTGGCACACATGATTATTTGAGATATATCACTAGAAATAATGGGAATTAAAAAAACCAAATCATTTCAAAAGGAGAGCTTTGAAAATAATTTTAAATAATTTAGGGAGAAAAGTGTTACATTTGGAAACTGTTACAAGCATTTTTTTAAAATGTATCTGAATCTAAATACTATATATTATGCTTGTCTTCAGCCTTAGTTATGTTTTCAGCAATGCTAGCCTTTCACAGAAGCTTCTTATTCTTTACAGTTCTCCATTACATGACAACATCATTATAGAAAACAGTGCAAAGCAGCAGCATCTCTGTAAGAAGCCCAAAGTTGCTGTGAATGAACAAATTATTTTTACCAAGGCAAAAAAAGGCAAAACTCAGAGGCATCTTTTTCAAAATTATACTTAATCCTTCTCTGCCTCTAAATTTAACACCAAATAATTCTTTTGTTTTGTATTTAAAATTTGGAGAGAGAAAAAAACACAGTGAAACTGAAAATCTGCCTTGTAAAAACATGTAGTGAAACAGAGTAAGTAATTTGAAGAAATACTACTGTAGTAACTTACTGCTTCCCACTGCTCCATCTGAAGGTTTAACTTGCTGTTCACAGCTAAACTCTACTTCATCCAAAACATCCTTGCTTTTCAAAATACAGTTATTAGGAAGAGGTAAGTACACTTTGGCCAGCAACATGTTTTTATTTGATTCCATAATCTACAATATATCATATAATATAAAACAATCTGTGTTAGAGAAGAATTGAAACTAATTAACCAAAGTAAAAAGAAGAAAAAGCCACAATAAAAATATTTTATATAGATAAGATTAATATTATAAATATATGTATCTAGATCTAAAAGGTTACTTTTTCATGGGTTGCTTGTACATAAGCAGAGATAATCTACTATAATGAGTGAGTTTTTGGAAAGATCAAGGTTCCCATCTTCCCAGTTTGCTAAGTAGCTTTGGGTTATTTGTTTTCCTTCATTCCAACCTATGTCAAGGGGTGGTGGTAGTTTTGAAGAATAAAATTAGAAAAGATTGCCATGTACATTGACTTCGGTTCTCAAAAATATATATAAAAATAGAACAATCAGAGAAAGAAAGCAAAATAGAATGCAATCAATAATAAATAAATAATATCTGGGGCCAATCACTTTTTCAGACAGAGGGCAGCATTGCATGATTTTACACTATAGTGAAGGCACAATGTTGTAAATACTAAATAAATTAAAATGTAAACAAAATCAATGGTTTGAAATCATGTGTTAACAAAAAAATGCACAGGGCATAGCTACCACATGAGATTCTGCCCTTTTTGAATGGGTTATTTTTAATTATGGAGATTGGTAGATACCATATAAGAACACCATAGACATTGTAATGTCAATCTCCAATGTACATTTGTAAAAGAACTGGCCTTATCTCCTGGAATGTATAGGTTACTAATCACAGCACATTACAGGTAGTCCTCAGCTTATGACCACAATTGAGCCTAAAATTTATGTTGTTAAGTAGAAATTTGTTAAGCGAATCTTGTTCCATTTTACAACTTTTCTTGCCCCATTTGTTAAATGAATCATTGCAGTTGATAAGTTAGTAATGTAGTTATTAAGTGAATCTGGTTTCCCCATTGAGTTTGCTTGTCAGAAGGTTGCAGAAGGTAATCACATGACCCCAGAACACTGCAACAGTCATAAATGTGGATCAGTTGTCAAGCATTCAAATGTAAATCATGTGACCATGGAGATGCTATAACGATCATAAGTGTGAAAAATGGTCATAAGTGACTTTTTTCAATATCATTGTAACTTCAAATAGTCACTAAGCAAGCTGTTGCAAGTCGAGGACTACCGGTATCTTTTCAAATGGTATGGAACACATAGTAAGTTCATTCAACAAGCATGTCAACTACATGCTCATTCCGATATAAAATAATTAAATATAAAAATTCCCTCTCAAAATAATAGGAACAGAACAATGTCCAATTAGATGAAGGTTTTGTAAAGGGAAGATTATTAGATTTCAGATGCAATATTTTGCAACTGCATAGATACCTCTAGTTGAAGGGATTCAGACCAGTTTAAAATCTGAATTCTAAAATGTTGTTGAAGTATAACTTTAAAATCATCACGAAGAGGGAACTCTGGAGTACAAGAGACCAATTTATTATTGTAATATATTTTAATAAAATATTTCTCCATTTTGACCTTTTCTCTTCTGTTCTGTTCTACACTAAAAATAAACAAATTAAAGTTAATATTTTATTTAACCATACAGTCACACAAAAGAAACTACACATAAATTTCTGCAGAAAAAAATGAAGCATGCATTTAAAGGTAGTCCTTGACTTACGAACACAATTGAGCCCAGAATTTATGTTGCTAATGAGAAATTTGTTAAGTGAGCTTTGCCCCATTTTAAGACTCTTTGTTAAGCAAACCACTGCAGTTGTTAAATTAGTAACATGGTTGTTAAGTGAATCTGGCTTCCCTATTGACTTTGCTTGTCAGATGGTTGCAAAAAGGGTTCATATCATCCCAGGACAGTGCAACGGTCATAAATATGAACCAGTTGTCAAGCATCTGAATGTAAATCACATGACCATGGGGATGCTGCAATAGTCATAAGTTTAAAAAATGGTCATAAGTCACTTTGTTAAGTGTCACTGTAACTTCAAACAGTCACTAAGTGAAGTCGAGGACTACCTATATACATTTGCTAGACTGAGATTCCGACCATTAAAACAATGTGTACAATGTTAATGTTACAATGTATTCCAAATAAAACTTATAGTTAAGGTTTAAATTTTCAGTCTGAATTTCAATCCAATTTTGGCACAGGGACACTTTGGTCATCCTATCCAGACAGAAACAGGGCAGTGTGATTTAATTAACATTCCTGGTTTTGAGACATGTGGTCCTCAGATTATAACTGCAATTGAGACCAGGATTGCCATCACTAAGTGATGCAGTTGAAAAGTACAATGTCATGTGACTGCTTTGCTTAGTGATGCAATGCTGGGCAATCCCAGTTGCGATTGCAATCCCAAAACAGATGGATCATTAAGCAGAAAGAGGTGAGAATCCAAGGTGCACGGGGCTGCCACAAGGGAGTGGAAGGCTGCCACAGGGGAGGCCTGGGAGGGCCAACAGAAGCTACAGGTGGGTAGACAGCTTACCCTGGTGGGAGAAAGAGCAGAAATGACTTACTTGAGTGACTTGCAACCTTCCCTGATAAATTTCCCATTGACTTTGTTTATGAGAAGCTGGCACAGCAGGTTGCAAATGGCGATCAAGTGACAATGGTGTTATATTCGTGAGTTGGGCACCTGAGTACCCAGATTAGAATCATGTGAATACAGTGGTGCTATGATGGTCTGAACTTCAGAGATTAGAATGCAGTATTGCAGGCTATTTCTGCTGACTTTCAGCAGTTTAATTCTCACTGGCTCAAGGTTGACTCAGCCTTCCATCCTTCCGAGCTCAGTAAAATGAAGACCCAGATTGTTGGGGGCAATATACTGACTCTGTAAACTGCTTAGGGAGGGCTGTAAAGATATATGAAGCGGTACATAAATCTTATTGCTATGTCCATGTTTTTCAACATTGCTGTCATTTTGAACAGTCACTGAACAAATGGACATAAGCCGAGGACTAGATGAACTATTAACCACTGTCTTCTTCTAGAGAGCTTGAATGAACTTTAGTTCAGGTGGGCTGCTCAGGTGCTACTAGAAGGTGATATCAAAAAAAAGACCTATTCTATAGCAGATTGCAATATAAAGTGGGGTAAGGGGGGAAAGAAGCCATTTTATTTACAGATGCCAAAGAATATATCTGCATTTTTTTTTAAATTAGTCATTGAAAAATGAAACATAGTGGAAAAAATGTGCAACTCACAGTGGGCATAATTTTGCTGGTGTTATTTCTGATATAAAGGTCATATGAGGGATGAAAAATGGTTTCTTTCCTTCGGTAAGGTCTGTTACAGGTTGAGAGGTACAAACTGAGTCCAAAGAATCCTAGAATTCAATAATGTTTTGATAATAATCAATATTCCCTCAAACAATAATATCTGAATTTGTATTGCTATTTTTCAAATGCATTTTATACAAATTTCTACACAGGTTTACTGACCTCACAACAGTTTATTGTTCCTTTTCTTACCTCTTTTTCATCATCTTCTGATATTTTAGCTAGATATTCATCCAATTCAGAATTATGAGTTTGCCTTGAATATGAAAAAAAGAAAAATAAACAATAGACCTTCAGGAAGTCAACCATGGTTACCAGGTAACATATTACTTTCTCCTCTCATTTTTAATAAGGAGGGAGAATGCAATTAAGGATGGAAAAGTGGAGAGTTTTTTCACTGTCCTTCATACCCATTGTAATAAATTGCAGCTTCTAATGATAATTCTGAATTTAAAAATGCCAGCTATCAAGAGAAAGTCCAAGGTAAAGTATAGTCCAAGGTAAAATATAAACTTGATTAATTATTTAATACTATCACTAAATTATAGTCTGGGAAGCAGCAGTATATGATTAACATATTGCTGCAGTTGCTCCAGGCTCTAAATGGCATTTGGTGATAGCAAATGTCCACTTCTATAAAATTTTGTATCACGTTATATTCTAGCAATAAACAGTTGCATTTTCCAGTAATGTTTCAAAGCCCCAAAATTCAACTCTGCATGGCCAGTTCATGAATATAATTTAATGCAAAATGAAGAAACGTGAATTTGCATCTTCTACAATTTATTATTCATTGGTATTTTTAATTTTTAGTATTTTACTTTACCTTCTTCTTCCCAACACCCCTGTGAGATCAAGTAGCCCAAAACAACCCAATTAGTTGGACTCTCCCTAATCTTTGTCCATTGTTTTAAATAGCACCACTTTGGCTCTATCAGTTCTCTCAATCTTTCTATTGTGTATCTGGGAAGGGCACTTAAAACTCAGAAAAACTTATTTGGTTAAAAGTGGTTTGCTATTCCATCTAAATCAACATACTACAATTAGCCTTAATTATGGCTTATAAAATTAAATTATGAAACAAGCCTAAACCATAGACTAAACCATAATATTCCAAAACACCTTCAATATTCAGATATTATGTGAATAAAAACGAGCAGCTATTTATATTCTGTTTCTACTGAGCTTTCCGGAAATTTCTCTTCGTATTAGGCTAAATGCAGATTTTATGCCTTCTAGGCTTCTTCTTTGTTAATTTTAAAGATACATATTTTTTTCCAAGATAATTTAATATTACTTGGACGTTGCCATTGCCATGATATTACTTTTCAGAGAGAATTAATTTACAAATTCTAATTGCATTGCGATTGTCTTATACCTTTGAAATTGAATCTTTATAGTTGTACTGGTAAAGCCTTGTTGTTTGCGTAAAGTCTTCATCTGTTTCCACACTTTCAGCATACTTTGTATTAAAGAATAGTCTCGTTGTTGTTCTTTGTGATATAATATTTTAGTATTTCTTTTTAGAATGAATATAGGAAAGAAAAAATGACAAAATTACAGTGAGAATTCTACTTTTTGAAGGCACGATAAAAGCTAAACATTAATTTTTCCTGCTTAGAATGCACATACACCAAAAACCTTTTCTTATATACTTATAAAAAGTATAAGTATCAACAATTTTGGATCCAAGGAAGATAAATTCTTGAACTAATTCAATTTTCTTCTTGATTTTAAATGCCTCATGACCTCTGCAACTGTTGTCATTATCTTTGTTTCTCTGATATTAAGACTTAGTCCTATTTTTTCACTTTCGTCCTTGATTTTCCAGATCATTTTTCCCAAATCTTCCTTATTTTCAGCCAATAGTGTTGTATCATTTGCATACCTCCAATTATTTATGGTTCTTCCTCCAATCTTCACTCCAACATCAGGCAATTCCAGATTTAATTTTTGTGTTATCATTTCAGATACAGATTGAACAAAAAAGCAGAGAAAATGCATCCCTGTCTAACATCTTTATTGATCCTGAATAAGTCTGTGTCACCATAATGTATTCTCACTGTTGCCTCCTGATCAGTGTAGAGCGAGCTAATAAATCTGATCAGGTGGGCTGGAACACTAAGATCATGCAAAACTGCCCATAGCTTATTGTGTTCTATACAGTCAAAAGCTTTTCTGTAATTGATAAAACACACGTAAATATCTTTTTGATATTCACAAGCCTTTTCCATAATCCATCTAATATTGGCAATGTGATCTCCAGTGCTGTGTCCCTTTCTACATCAGATAACTCTTGATCGATGACATTTTTTAGCCTCTGTTTAATGATTTTTAACAGAATCTTGTTTGCATGAGAAATCAATGAAATCATGCAATAGTTGGAGCAATCTCTGGCATCGCCTTTCCTTATTAAAGGGGTAAAAATTAAATTAATTAATTAATTAATTAATTAATTAATTAATTAATTAATTAAT